GAAAAATTTGATTTCGAACAACCAGTTTTAACACACGATTTCTTGGTCATTTTTTATCTTATTGATATAAGAACGATATAATCGGAAACCTAATAGGCTATTCTTTATTGCCATATAAAAATTATATGGTTTACTGTATAGTATTTTATAAACAGCAGTCTGTCAAATTTGGATTCGAATTATTTTGATACACACTGTACTGTACAGGGTGTCCCAAAAAAAACGAAAATGATTGAAAAAACGTATTGTTAAAATTTGAATGCCCTAGCACTAAGCTGAACGCAAAGATGCGTAAAATATTGACAAGGGTGCATATATTAAATATTGACTTATTAAGAAATTAAAATATCTTTGTAAAGCGCCACGATTTTCTGCTCTTGGGAATTTAAAACACCTTAAACAGCTTCTTAAATAAAATTTACTTACGTCAAGCTTTGATGCAACGTGTGGGTTCAGCAGAGTGCTGAGGCATTCAAATTATAACAATACATTTATTTCAATAGTTTTCGGGGTTTTTTGGGACACCCTGTACTGTACAGTATATACAAATTACTTTGCGGGTATTTGAGCAATTTTATAACTTTACAAAAAAGATTTTTAATGCGTTGATTACGGTGTCTAGGCAGCAACTATTAAATATTATAATGAGGAACATTTCCAATTTATGCAAGCTCTAGGACAATGAAAATCATTCCTATGGGATATCGCGAATTGAACTTTTATTATTTTGTTTTAGTTCAAACGTTTTGTACAGAGGTATGCAAACCATAAAGTCTAATCATGTAAATTACCTAAGCTGATGAATTGCTTGTCCGTGGATAGTCACACTCAGTACAGAAAACGGCTTGATCTCAGCAAACTCTCATTCTAAACGTTAGTGATTCGCGATATTTATAGTTGTATGTGTTTAAAGTATGAAGCTACAGTTTCTCTATGTTCTGCTATTGCTTTGGTCGAGTATATTCGCTCAAAATGAGTTCGAACAAGACCACAATGCAGAGGTCGTTGAAAACAATGACGAATTTAGCCCAGGTGAAACCGAACAAAATCCGAACGAGGCATTTGCTGAAGTTGATAACGACGAACACATTAATGTCGACACTGATTTTGTCGAAGTTATCGCTGAAAATGGGAATGAACATAACTACAAAGCAGAAAACGTTGATAATAATATCGGCTACAGTCCAGTTGAAACCGAGCAGTATTCTGAAGGATTTGCTGAAAATACTGACGAGCAAGTTGTTAGAACTGCCGCTACAGATGTCTTAGCGCAAGGGGATTCTGAGCAAAACTATAATATAGAAAACGTTGACAACAATGCCGTCTACGGTCGCGTTGACACAGACCAAAATCCGAGCGAAGGGCTTACTGAAAATGAATTTTACAATGGCGAACAAGTCGTTGAAACTGACGCGCCAGAAATTCAAACACAAAACGTTAAAGACAATGTCGTTGAAACTGAGCAAAATTTTAACGAAGTTGCTCCACTTGATAGCGAACAGTATGTCGGAACTGATCCTATAGAAAATTTAGCCCAAAATGAATTCGAAAAAGACTACAACACGGAAACATTTGAAAACAATGGTGTCTACAGCCCAGTTGAAACTGAGGAAATTCCTGTCGAAGTGGATCTTGAAAACATTGATCATGACGAAAATGATGCTGAAACTGACGCTACGGAAATCTCGGCTCATGATGAGTTGGAACAGAACTACAATGCTGAAAACGTTGAGAACGGTGTCGTCCACAATCCGTTAGAAACAGCGCAACATTTTACCGAAGTGGTCCCAAAATACGAAGTTGATACGAACGAACACGATGTCGGAAGTGACCGTAGAGAAATCCAAGATGATTTTCAACAAGACGACAATGGAGAAGCCATAGAAACCAATGTCAACAGTCCGACTGAAATTGAGCATGATGATCATTTAGGGACTGACTTTATCGAAATCCTCGGTTTACCGGAAACAATCTCAACCCCAAATCTGCGGTCGACCATCCGTTACAGTATCGCTGGCCCTCGGATATTGGTCATTGAAATATTCACAGTTGGCGTTGATCACATAAAGTCTGTCTTCCATACCGAGTGGACGGAAGTACTTCACTATGCGGGGGAAATTAAAGCTAAACTGTTACGAGTAACTTTACCTGATAACCTTATTTACAAAGAAGATAAAATTTTGCACATTTCTCCTGATTTACACAGCGAATCGTTGCTGGTTCGAGCATACATAGTGGACTATGAAAACCCCTCAGTATTACTTCTCCACGCAGAGCATCCAGTTAAGCTGACGCCGCCCTGGAGCAGATTGCCGAAATACAGCAGACACTCGTGTAACTCGTGGATAGGTATGTTTTTTAAAAACTTAACTAAAAATAAGATTCCAAAATGCCCTAAAATTGACGACGTAGTTGAATTACTCTCATTCCCCGTCGCTCTTGTGGGCAACGAGCACGGTTACAGGAAATTTTTTCAAAAGCTCCGTGAATCTGAAGAATTACAGAACCGTCCGTCCCAATTTACCCTTGCAACATGGCTGTATCTTACTAAGCGTTGCTCAAAAGACATGTGTCCGTTATTGTATCACATCAAGGCAACTGCTTTCCAAACCCCGCTTATTGGTTTATTAAAATCCGGCCATTTACATCTTCAATTTCACTATGAAGATGGTAGTGGCTACGCTTTTCTTTTCGATGCCCAAATTCCTATTCGCAAGTGGATTCATATTACCGTAACAGTAAAACACACTGTGGTATCTGTTTACGTAAGATACGGTAAAAATCTCGAGCATGTTAAAACGTTTGTACATTCGGATTTCCCAGATGGGTTATATCATTATAATGATACCGATGGATATTGGGGTCTGGGAGGATCCCCTGGGTTTATCTCGGCGCATGGTTTCATCGGTTCTGCAAGAATTTATCGCAGACATGTTCTATCGCAAGAGGCAATTGAAACAATTTTCACTGTAGCGTCCAGGCCATATTTAGGAATTGTGGACCATTTTAAATCGTGTCGTAAACTAAAAACGGCAGTGAAGTTTTTGTTAAGAAAAGAGAATAAAGCCAAGAAGCATTGCTCGTCGAGGAATTGGTTAAATGATGCAAAACGTTCATATTGCGATGTAGGTGTCCGCGGTTTAGCGACCGAAATTGTTCATATTTTGATCGACATTTTGAATATCAATGAAACAAGCTCGGGTGACATGATACAACAAAAAGTATATGAATACGCTTTTAATTTGACAAAAACAAATGAGAACTATGTCAAAGATACATTGCTCTTGTCGTATTCGTCCTGTCTCGGGCACCCACAGTCGTTATATTTGCTATCTGTGTTGTACAGAACCGGTTTAGGGGTAACTGTAAACCCAAGGATATCTCAGAGATATTTATTACTTGGTTCCTATTACAACCACCCATTATCCCAGATGTCCCTAGCCTACAAACATTTCATTGGTGTAGACGGTTTGCCTAAAGATCACGAAGTAGCGAGCACGTACTACCGTTATGCCGCTGTACAAAGCAATCGCGTACTAGTTGAACACAATGAGGTCGACACGCACTCCGAGGCAGTGCGACTCGATAAAAAGGAAGACCTAGAAAATTACCGTGGTCCGGACTCAAACTGGTTTAGCTGGTTAATACATCAGGCTAAACGAGGAGTTACAGACGCACATAGCGCGTTGGGTGAGGTGTTTTACTATGGTTCGCGCGGATTTCGACGCAATCTAACCAAAGCTGCGGAATTTTATGAAATGGGTGCAAACCGCGGTGATGCACAAATGTTGTTTAATTTAGGCGTCGTCAAATTACGAGGTCAAGGAGTCGCTGCAAATGCTGATGAAGCCCGCGACCTTTTGAAGAAATCCGCTGAACTTGGGTTTGCTCCTGCGCACAATGCTTTGGGGTATTACGAGCTCAATGTACGTCAAAATAAGTCCGGAGCAGTTGAATATTTTAGATTTGCGGCAGAACATGAAGACAGAGATGGTTTATATAACTTGGGTTTTGCTTTAGAGAATGGTCTCGCTCCAGGTACTGTAGGAGATCTTAAGTCAGCTATGCCGTATTATATTGGTGCCGCGAACAAAGGGCACACAGGAGCATGCGTAGTAGCAGGTGATGCCTTCAGCTTGGGACAACACGTTGACCGTGATGTTAAAATTTCTATCATATATTACAAGTTCGTTGCAGATCAGATCCCTGAGATAGGTTTACACTTGAGGAGTGGTCTTGATGGATTCTTTGAGAAAGCTTGGTACCAGTCCTTATTGCATTACCTCCTCGCTGCCGAAGCCGGCATGGAGATTGCCCAGTACAACGCCGCGCTGCTTTGTGAATGGGATTGGGAACTGGTATCACAACACACCCGAGTGGATTGCGCGTGGCGATATTACAACCATTCGGCGAAACTAGAGTGGGTACCATCTCTTATTAAAACTGGCGATAACCACTGGTATGGAATAACAGCTGAGAAAAACATTACCACTGCCGCACGGCTGTACAGTCAGGCAGCTACCAAAGAACAAAACCCTCAGGCGATATATAATTTAGGTTATTTGGTGGAAAATAATTATCCTTTAGATGGGTTAGATTGGATCCATTTTCATCTTCCGAGTGTTAATCCTGGTAATCTTACACTAGCTGCAGCTTTATATAGAAAATGTCGGGATTCAAGTGATGAGGCATTAGTTCCTTGCTCACTTGGGTTAGTACGTGTTGCTGTGAAAATGGCCTGGCAACTAGAGTTGGTGAAAAGTGAGGTATTGTTAATACCGTTGACTCTGTTTATTGTTAGTCTTACTTTACTCTATTACTTATGCCGTTTAATAAACAATGATCGTCAAATGATCGACCTAGCATAATTTTCAAACTTGGTTATTATAAGAATTAGTATTATTATAATTAATTAAAAATTCGTTGAATATATTATAATAACTTAACTATTAAATTACTAGCGTTATGTTTAGATAACGGATTTATAATACGATAGAACTTAGACATTAAATTTATCTGCATTAGTATTAGACTTGACAAGATTATTTATATTTATGTATTAATATTTAGAAAAATAAATTAACTAATTAGAATAATTCATAAGTCAGTAAATGTGTAGTGCAATGAAAATGTTTGCGCATGATAATATGCAATTTCCATTATAGATTAGTATTAAAACTAAGGAAGGAGATAGAACATACTAAAATGAGTAAAATTGCAAAGTTTGGTTGCGAAATGTTGTAAAATGCGGAAATATAGCCTTGCAAAGTTCGCAAACTTTGTATACTTTTGTATTGCGTGTTGCTACCATTTTCGGCCCAAATGTGGTAGCAATTTCTGCACGTAATACAAAAGTATACAACGAACCAGTTGCAAGGCTATATTTTCGCATTTTACAACATTTTATTTGCATCTCCTTGCCTAGTTTTTAAAATTAGTGTATAATGGGAATTGTCTATTTATAAAGCTCAATGACTAGGGTAAAGGGTAATGACCCCTTGGTGGATACCAAGTTATGCCCAGATCAAAGTGGATGAAAGCAGGGCGTTGTAAAACTACGACCACTAGCTTCACTATGCACTGGTGGTTCTACACTGATGAACAATGAAAGTTTGCAATCACGCGACCTTGGTTAGCTCTTCTTAAAGCATGCAACACTATTATGTATTTTATTAGTTCGGCTACTAGTATATAGACGAAGTATAGGTTTCCTCACGTTTCTGTATTTTTTGTAGTAGTATTTTTTTTTTCCATCTAGTAATTCACCTTACCCCAGAATGCTCTACGTCACTGTATTTTTATATGAAACGAAAAAGAATGTAATTATTGTGGTGATGTGGACTCGGTGTGTGCGCACACACCATTTTATGACAACCAAACGGACAAAACCGAAGATTAGGCTCCTATTTATTTAAGTAATGACCCATGCAGTTTCTAACATAGCGATCCAGTTCAGCAACAGTCCATTCTATGCCTGTCAGGTGTTGCTAGGTAAAGCAGAAGAGAATGCCTGAGCAGGTGTCTTGTTTGAGTTAAGGTAATTCCGCAGTTTTGCATTGCGCACTTTTACTGCGCAAAGCTTATAACTAATAATAATTTCATCCATTATGCGTAAACACCGCAGAAAAACGCCTGCGCATGCACCAAATTATGAAAATATGGCGGGGAATTTGAATATCAATTTCTAAAACAAGAACATGCTTATTAATTGGTCAAAAATTAGTAAAACAAACGAGAAAATATAGCAAATGGGTAGACTAGACATTAGTTGAAAGCGTCCTGGCATTTAAAATATGGAATAAAATATAATTCATGTAAAAAATTGTTGATTTTAACGGATACGACTTCGAAAATTTTTGCGAAATTATTCAAAACAAAAATTCAAACTCAAAAGTTAAGAAAACTCTCGAAAAGTTAAGCTTCTTAACCCACTCAAAATGTAGAATAAATCCTAAAGTTTAATTATTGTGAACACGAAATTTTTTTATATTTGGCGACACAGTTTTTTTTAAAGAAATGTATCTCAAACGAAAATTCGGAAATTGTCGTTGCTTAGTTGATAAACAAAATGTTTCAGACGACAAATTTGTCAACAATCACCTTTAGTTCATGTTCTTGTACAATACAATTTCTTGAACCTTCTGGCTGTATTTATTCCTAGTTTTTAGAATGACATGTTTATTTTTGCGCTCGAAATCTGGCTGTAAAGACGCACAATGAAGTCACTCCTTTTTACCGCCATTTTGAGCTTTCGGAAACGTTCGGAACAGCTTCTCATCAAGTTCGTAATATTATTACAAGTAAGGTTGACGCATGCGCAGACGTTTTTCCGCGGTGTTTTATACGTACCGTTTTAAAAAAATCATTTTATGACAATTTTATGTTACTTCAAAACATCTTTGGTTACATTCGTCCAAAAAATTACGTTAAAATCAATGTTTTCAAAAAAGGCATACAAAAGTGTAGCTATAGGGTTTCTGTGTCTGCAGTATATTTATTTACTTGTATTTCACGTTTTAATGCCACAATTCCCTAAAAAGATCGGTGACCCCCGTTTTTTAACTGATAATTTATTTCTTTAATGTATTTTACATTTCATATCCGAAATTAAAAGAAAAATCATTTCTGAATCTTGAAAAAAATTCCTTTATCAATGAATGTTCTCAAAGAAAGATATGTAAAGAAATGTGGAAAAGACATTTGTGGATCAGAATTGTACACATTAGTAGTTTCATTTTGCTCAAAACACAATATTTTTTCAAAAATAATTACAAGATAGGTTTACTATAAAAGCAAAATCCACGCTAAAAACGTCAATAAATATCGGGCTGTTTTGATCTTGCTGTTACTCGTAATGAGCGTAAAGATGGCGCAATATTGGGGTAAAGGTGGTATATTGTGATTGTCATATCTCCTTAACGAGTTCGGTGATCCCGACTTTTTTGTGTGATTTCACTTTAAGTATATCATAAACTCCATGCCTGGGAAGTTTCAGCGCATTCTCATTTCGGGAACAATTACTGCGGAATTACCTTAAGACGTAGTTGGAACGTTAACACTTGTCATTAGTTAATCTGGAGCTTAAAATATCCTCCATATTAAACAATTTGCAATCGCTAACTCTCCTCAACTCTCATTCGCGCTTGACGGGGGCTTTAGTGTATATAGACTGCCTCGTCCCCAGGCGCTAATAAAAAATTTCATGCGAGTCACTATATGAAAGGTTTACATGAAGTAGTGCATCATGACGAACAAGCGCAGGGAGTTATGGGCTTGAGGCATCGAAAATTGAGGAGCGCCTGGGAGATCTTGTGCCGTTTCTTGCAAAATTCGTCTGTTTCTTGCAAATCGTGGTTTTTCGACAGTTTGGGGGCTTTTTTCGCCATTTTTTTTGAGGAAACAACATTTCAAATCGTTCAATTAAACATGTGATTACAGTCAGATGATATTTGATATCTTTTAACGCTTTGAATGATTCCGAGATGTCAACACTTGAAGAGTTCTACGGGGCCGTAGAAGCCAGTTTATATAATAAATTTACAAGGTATGGAAAAATGACAATGTATTTTTATCACAATGAGCAATTTATTTTAAAAATATACAGCTACAAGACGTTTTTTAAACAAGGGAGCGATGAAACTTTATTTTGAATTGCATTTGCAAGATTCGTCTCAGGATTTCAGTTACGTGCTTATTTACATGCAGTATGTTTGATTTTCACAATGTAAACGATCGGCAATATTTTGAATAATTCAGGTAAGGATAGCTTTATTTCTTTCTGGTGATATACATGAAGGAATTTATATTTAGATCTGTTGTTTACTTGTATGTTCGACAGCTATTATACAAGATCGGCCAGGAGCTAACCAGAACGCTCATATCCCACTGTCCTTTGCGCACGCCTATAATGTGACGCACTACTTCATGTAAACCTTTCATATAGTGATTTGCAATTTTTTTAATTAGCGTCTGGGGACGAGGCAGGTATATAGATATCATTTCACCATAATAAGAACACATGAACTATTTATTGCAAACGTTATTTTTGGGGGCATCTCGCTCAATACAGCTAACAGTTGAAGTATTAGATATAGTTGCAATTTTCGAAACTTATCAGTCCCGCTAGTGGAGAGCCAGTCAGATTGCAGAATGGCTTATATCCAGTAGTTGCATGTCTATATAAAAATAGGATATTAGTGTGCTGAGATAAAGAAATTGCTGGTGATTTTATATCACATTTTAGTATTTTTGCTTAAGTGAATATAACAAATCCCACAAGCTGGTTGGACAAATTTGACGTATTCATTAAGCTGTTATGTTCACCTATTGGTGAATATTATAACAGAACCAAAATTTTCAAAATGGCGGCTAGCCGTTTTGCATGGAAGTTACTGATAAAGAATAAGCGAATTAAAATAAATCCAGTCCCAAAAAACACAAAAGACTTGTGTAAAAATACTAAAACAATTATTCGCCTCAGGCTTGGTGATTATCGGGGAATATTCACCTCGACTTCGTCTCGGCGAATATTCCCCGATAATCACCTCGCCTTCGGCGAATAATTGTTAATTATTTTTTCAATTCACACGGCCACTGAAATACTCATTTCCATAAACAGAATTGTCTTGTATTATTTACATCGTTGCCACCCAATTCACATATTTAGGTAACCAACAGGCCTAGTTACTATTGTTCTATCGGGTGTCCAAAAAAAAAAACTGGACACTGTTTGATTTCATGTAACGTAAAAGCTATAAAAGCTATCGCAATAAAATAAAGATCATTGCATTCAGAAAGGACTAACTTAGATTTTGATCAATAACACTTGAATTTACATGCAATATTGAGCGAGATGCTACCAAAATAAAAATATTTATTATTTAACAAGTATACTAGGCTATACATCAGTAATTATAATGTTATTTTTTGTGCAAATTTTTGGCTTTTTCAAAAACAGTAGTTCAACGTTCAAACATTAATAGCCCAGTCAAATATTGCATGTATAAATGCCGGTATTCAAGTGCTGTGTATCAAATTCTAAGTTGATCTTTTCTGAATGCAATGGTCTTTATTTCATTGTGATAGCCTTTATAGCTTTTACGTTACATGAAATCAAACAGTATAGGACTGTTGTGTTTGGAGATTGACACCCGGTATAGTTTACCAGAACGTAGAATGGAACAAAGGAATATCCAAGCATTAAAATTATGTATAAGAGTTATTGACTCATGTATAGATCATTCCAATGCCTAGATACATTGGTGCCGTTCTATATACGCTTGCATAGACTGGAACAGTAGCAACTAGACATGTGAGCTATATCCAAAGTTGTGAATAGGCTCTTTACAATTAACTGAAAATAGTTCAGACCAATAAGTGACTGGATAGCATGGAGAGCTGTGGGATTTGTAAACAAGAGAGCAAGACAGGTCAGCAGATCTTGTAATGCCAGAAAAGGTCTAAAGTTGGTGTTTTTAGGCCAGCTATAAACAAATTTGGCTAATCATTTACATCGTTGTGACCCAGTTCACACCTTTAGATAACTCGTGTCTAGTTACTATTGTTCTAGTTTTATTTATAGAAGCATAGAATAGGACAATTAGTAACTTAGCATTAGAGCATATAAGCCTATCGAAGGGAAGATGGCTGTGAAGCTCATTAAAATAACAATATAACTCATTATCTATGTTGGTCAACGTTTATTCATAAATCTGGTCCTTCACCGTCACGTGTTTATTGTATTTTTGCCCAACTAACCAATAGCAATGTTTTAGGAAAGTCACCTATCCGTGACTCGAACAATAGGGAAACTGCAAATTGCTATTGGTGGATTTGCTAAAAATACAATACACACGTGACGGTGAAAGGACCATATTTATGAATAAGCGTTGACTAACATAGATAATGAGTTATACTGTTATTCTAATAAAGTTTCACAGCCATCTTCCCTTCGATAGGCTATGATTATATACAATGTATAGGAGTTCTTCACTCACATGGATTTCTAAAGCTTAGTTACCTTAGTTCTATACTATGCTCCTGTATACTAGAATCGAACAAAGTTACAATTACTTTCCTCCTAATTTCAAGTTTTCAAACCTTCCTCAAAATAATTTGAATTATAGGTTTTTCAAATTGCAAAATATGTAAATTATTTCCTTTTAATTTAATCGGCTTCTTATTTCTTTTTCCTACTGACTAGTATTTAACATTAATCAGCATGCAGATTGATTGAATTGTATCACTCCCATACACCATGTCAATCTCAACCTACATGATAAAGTATCATAAAGTATCATAAACTTTCCTCATACTGACACCTCACATATGGTAAACCTTCCACACGGCTGGCATGCGACCACCCGTATTCCCGCAGCTTTTTGGCAACGCTGTACTGGAACAATGATATTTAGACCTGCGTGTGAGTCAGCATCTAAAGTTGTGAACTAGGTATCTCAAACTCTAATAATTCACGATAAATTAGCCAAACATATTGCTTTATTTTGCTCACATGATAATACTGCATGGGTACCTAGTGAAGTATATTGATCCAGTACTGGATTAAAATTAATTCATCTCACACACTACAACTAGGCAGCGATATATTAGGCCTAGTATGAGATGTCATTTCAATTGATCCAATTCGGACTAGATTAAATTCAAGTCCTCGCATTTTTATCCAGTCCTCGGTTTCGCCTCAGACTTGATCAAATTGCGCGGACTTGGAATCTAGTCCAGTCCTCATAGTCGCGGACTTGAAATATTACATGAACAAACGTTAGCCAAATTTGTCTATTGGGCATAAACAAACGTCGATTGTGTCTATTGAATCTTCCTAATTTCTTACATATACCTGTTATAATTCACGGTGAGGAAATTGTGGAATGATCACCTTGACAAATTAGGTTCGCTGTCACTATCAATAAGTCGTGTCCATGCTTATATGTCTGTAGACATTACTCAATGTCATATTATTAAAAGCATTCTAAGAAATTTTGGTGCTATATTACAACCCTCAAGTTTAGCTTTAAGTCCAGCAAAGTCAGTCTGTTCCAAGAGTTGTTTGCTGGCATTAATTTCTTGTTTATCATGGTAACGTGTGCATAAATATCGTTCTGAAAATGCCGATATTGCTGCAAACTCATTCCGATCGAAAACTTTCCCTATTTGACAATCAATGATATCTAGTATATCGTCCAAACATTCGTTATCGATTGAGTTTGAATACAGATCTAGTAAGGCTTGTCGAAGCTCGTAACTGTTGATGATGCCATCGAGGTCGCTATCGGCTTTGACAAAAGTTGTTTTGAAAAGGTACTTTCTTCTTGAGCTAACAATGCAGTAGTTAGACAGATATTTGATCGCAGTAAGGCTTTCTAAAACTTTCAGATCCATTGGCAGTTCAAATCTACAACCTTCACATGATAAAGGTAACGGTCCATTCAGCCAAGGTCTTCGTTTGCTTAAATCTCTTGCCTGGCTCACATTCTGTGTGGTTATCTCCTCGTGTCTTCTCACATGAGTTAAAAGATTACGAGCAAAGGATACCGTTTGTGCAATATCACCGAACTCTTCAGCATCCATTAAGGTAAATTCAGCTTTCACAAATTTTGATGAAGGAATTTTTGATGTTTCAACTACATACAATTTTTCGCTCACCAAAGTGCTCGGGTGATATCGTTACTTTTTCAGAAAGCCAGTTAACGAGATAGATAGGCTACTGTATTAAAGTTTCGTAGAAATTTGATGGCAATCTTCTATTCCGTAAGAGTTAAGGTGACATGATAACGTGTACCAGAAAGCTAGGTAACAAGTTATGGTGTCAAGATTTCGTACTGATAAATTTGATGGCAATCTTCTATTCCACAAGTAGTGCTAATGGGATAACGTTAATTGATCAGTTGGCGGCTATATTCAGTCAGATTAAATACTGTAGTTTTGACGTGAAATTTGGTATAGAAATTCAGGATCAATTGTCGTGTTCATGAAAGAACACGACGGGTATCAATCGTCTTTCCATTAGTATCAATCTGCTGTCCATTGCCTATAATGTTCATTGCACAAGTCTCAATTTCAGCAAGTAGGCCTAATAACGTTGAAGAATTTCGTTTCTGTTCGGAAAGAAAATGAGATACTGTAGTTTTTGGAAATATTTCACTGTGGAAAATGATCAGTGCCCAGTGCTATGCTTTGCTGTTCACGAAAGCACAGCTTGTAATACCAATAACATTGAAGAATTTCGCTTCTATATGCTCAGAATAGATGCAATAAATTAGATATCAATATTGCTTTTCGTACATGCAGCCACTGACTGAGCCTATTCCATATTCCTATTGTTCATTTGTATAGTTACGTTCTTAGGAACTCTTTCGTCTAAAATTTCATAATGCTCGCGGAAAGCACATCATTAGATTAATGCACTGTTTCTCCTCTGAACTAATCCGTATAGCAGTTAATTATTTGATGCCAATGAAACTGTGTACAAAACTCCGTGTACAAACGCATTAACAACAAAAACGCCGATGACACTTTAACTTAGGAATTAATTATCATAATTATACAATTTGTGTGCGATCAGTAGACACGTTGGCACCGGCTTTGTGCGTCACAAGATACATTTTTGATATTTTGGATTAGGTACATGTAACTTTTGATTCGAAACTATAATGTTATTGAACATTGCGCCTTCTAAACATTAGACATATTTAGGGAAGACGATATATGCGGCAAATTAGACGACGCTTTCTCAAATTCAGCTAAAACATAAGCGCTGGTGAATTTGATTAATGCAGTAAAAGTTTTTTTTTAAATAACCTGGCTTACAAACAGCTAAGTCCGGAGGAAAACGATGATGTGATCGCTATGTATAAGGCAGACTTTATGTAAACACTTCTGATGTCGCAATAAACTTTCACGTTGCTTGAAAGACATGAAGTCTTACGCCCGTATTCTAAAAGCTCACACTCACACTCAATGAGTGGAGGTTCAATCTGAGCTTCTCTTGAGTGTTAATGCTGTTTTTGCATAGCTAGAGGGCTAGTGTCATAACTTACCGGGTGACTACTCGCCCTCCAGATATTCAACAACAGCATTGGCACTCAAGAGAAGCTCAGATTGAACCTCCACTCACGCCGGGTCAGCTCTTCCCAAAAATCGGCCATCTGATATAAACTTTTTCAATATATTTCGGATGGACATGAAACTTGCTACATCAATATAACTTTCCATTCCGAACAATCGTATGTTTTTTATTTTTGAGATTTAACGGTTTTTGGCGGGAAAAGGACGTCACGAAACCTCCAGTTAAAATTTATTTTCAATATCTTAATAGTTTTTAAGCAGAATGTGGAAGATCATGTCATGAACAGTTCAAAACTGAAAAGAGATTTTAAATATCTTAATCTAATCACGAGATACAGGGAGTTTAGAATCGAATTTTCCACCATTTTGTTACTATTTTTAGATTTTTCACGGTTTTTATAGTGAAATAACTTTGGATTAGGTTTAGATATTTAAAATCTGTTTTCAGTTTTGAACTGTTCATGACATGTTCTTCCAAATTCTGCGACAAAACTATTAAGATATTGAAAGTAAATTTTAACTGGAGGTTTCGTGACGTCATTTTCCCACCAAAAACCGTTAAATCTCAAAAATAAAAAACATACGATTGTTCGGAATGGAAAGTTATATTGATGTAGCAAGTTTCATGTCCATCCGAAATATATTGAAAAAGTTTATATCAGATGGCCGATTTTTGGGAAGAGCTGACCCGGCGTGACTCATTGAGTGAGAGCATGAGCCTTTAGAATACGGGCGTTAATGATAACGTTGTTGAATATATACCCTGCATGCATGGGATCACAAATTATTCATATTTTTGTGTCTTGCATGAAGAATTTTTTGTTTCGAATGCTCGTCATCAAAGTCGCGTCGTGTTTTCTATAAAACCTGGCAAGATCATGGAATTCTTAAGATGAAATTCTGTTAATTTAAAGGTATAGTGACTATTATATTCTTTCGTGTATATATGCGAATTTTCATGTGTGTCTATTGATGAGCTGTCATGCCTAGTAATGATGCAATTAATTTTTCTGTAGTACGTAGTATGACCTCCAATGTGTAATTTGACAAGGAAAAATATCAAAAGTTTGGACATCTCGCTCAGTGGAACTGCATGACATGCAGTCCAAGGAAATATTGTTAAACCTCTTCAACTGTTAATTCGACTTGGGACGCTTTTGGTACACTTTTTATTTATATTTTCATGTAGTAATGGCGCCACTATGATATAGCATAAAAATTTTCAATATTTAAAATTTAAGAAGAGTGAATAGATTTAATGTTCATGCACGGGTTAGCGTGCTGATTACATGCAAACGAAATTTTCAGTTTCTTATTGAAAACTGTGTATAAAAAAGCTGATTCAAATTTAGCATCTTCTTGTGCTCTTGAGTGCATATGTCTAATGTTTTGATGTTAATAAAGATTAGGGTTTTGGCTTTTGAATGACACCTTTTTGTACCATTCCAACTCATTTCCAAGCACAAATGACCAAATAGGCCTACATGCCGATTAAAAAAATTGTCAGTGGAAATCGCAATTTTCTAATATAAAACAGTATACCTATGCCGGTATCTTGCAAAACAATAAGCTTACAATAAGAGAGCGAAGTGATAACATTTGGCGACAATAATTATTAAAATTGAAACTCATATATATAAAGTTTGGATCCAAACCAAACTAGCTTATTTTCAAAAGTTTTGTCCCGAATTCTGTACGGTGGAAAATGCAATTTCCGTAGTAAATTTTTATTAGGTATCATTGAATAGCAAACAACCTGGTTTGTGTTGATGTGTTGTGCAAAAATTTATCGATAAACAAAATAATCTAACGCACATCTCAAACTTGGATTATCTCTTTCATACTGTACTTGTATACCTTACCCAATTAGGGGTCTAAATATCTCGCAACGTTTGCAATTATCACGGTTGTAATTATCGATTATAATTATCAATGCAATTATCACAATCATCACGAATTTCAAAATGCTGTATATTTAAGTGGATAACTTTCGCGCGCTTCATTTAATACAACTCCAAATGGCAAACAATGATTATGATCGGCATCAGTTTTAATTATTCATAACATGAAGCGTCGCCTGATGAGAGGTTTACATAAAAGATTTAATAAAAGCAATCTGCACTGCGTGAGATATGAAATGTTAAGCTGTGTAATATCTACTAATCTTTGTGTGATGCAAAAAGTGTTTGTTTTTCTCTAAGATATTTGTTCAGTTATATAGTTACAAAGCCGAGATATATTTACACATTTTAACAATATCTCTGTTATTTAAATTATAAATATATATATATATATATATATATATATATATATATATATATATATATATTTATATATATATTATATATATATATATATATATATATATAATATATATATATATATATATATATATATATATATATATATATATATATATATATATATATATATATATATATAAATATATATATATTCTTCCCGTGTGATTACCTATACTTATTATTGCTAAAACTGGACATATGCATGTTGTTGTATAATAAATACATACGATTTACATATTCAGTCTAGACTTCAGTATTATTTTGATGTCAGACAATATGTTATTTCATTGAATGTTTTCAATAAAGCGGCTATGAACTATTCATAGCCAAAATTTTTCCCATATAAGTGTCGCCTAAATTTTGTGCCTGCATGTGCCAGTAAACCAAGCTGGGTTAATGCAATGCTGTTCAATCGTCATAAACTCGAAAGGAAGGTGGAAACATAAAATATAAATACATACACTGAACACAACCTGCCAGGGTTGAGTAACAAATAAATGAAGGCAGATGACATTATGCAATATTATATTAAATAGATTGAATAGATTCCACAAGTCGGAAGCTATGCACACTGCTGATAATAACCAAGAAGAAGAAATCAATAATTTCCATCTATATATACAGCTATTTCAATTTTAAGGTTGTCCACGAGCAAAGCGGAAAAGTCGAATACGAGCGCGAAAGGCTGCTGGGAATTCATAACCGATTAATTAATTTTCAAAGCGATTCCCAGCAGCCTTTTGCGCTCGTATTCGACTTTTCCGCTTTGCTCGTGGACAACCTTAATTGAAATAGCTGTATATATACAAGACCCTTCAACTGTATATTCAATCGAGAGAGATGCCAACAAAATCTTGATGGCAATACCCTAGTATATTTACATGGACTTGTGGTTAGAGCTCGACAACTGTCCTCTGTATCTCGATAGTCCCACCAGCAGGGGGAGGGGCGAGGGCAGTTCTTCGCTGACCTATCAAGTCAACTGGATTGCGCGAGGATTTTATTTTTGCGCGAAATACTTTTTTACGACATTACCTTTCAGAATTATCTCAAGACTGAAAGATATTATTAATATAAATTTTTCGTCTGGCGTTGACTGTATTTTGTTAGCTTTTAGAACAACGAAAAGATTTTGTCTTAACGATTTCATTTCCATGACGACATCACAATGTATTTGATTTGTCATGATTTCTCATTAAAAGTTTCACATTAAATTGTATATGCATACAAGCACGCATTCAACTAGAAAGTATATTAAACTCCTTTGAGCGGCGAATGTTGTGATTAATTTAGCGTGCCACCTCGGCATCTTGTCACAATTCATAATCTCACACATCAATAATAGATAAATTCAAAGTCAAGTAAAAAATCCATTTCGCAAAATATGTCTGCGGAAACCGATTTTAGCTATTATGTACACATTGCTGCGAAACAATGTTTGAGTCTCTGTCAGAGGCAAATAAAGCTATCATTATGGCCTTATCCACTCTGACTTCTGTGGGATAATTGTTTTGAAAAACACTGACAAGTAATTAAAATTCAAACAAAACACGCAGACGTCAAGATTAAATAGTGAAGTGTTGCCTGGAGGCAGTCGTTGAAACGTACAAACACAGCAAGGAAAAGTTTATATTGATTTGTTACGCACAGTTCTTCGATTTACGGCAGTCAATAATAAGGAGGATAGTCGCGTTGATGACATCCATGCAACCTTCTTCAGGTCCAAGTTTAGATCAACTCAAAGAGAAATACATCCGTGGTGGCTTGTTGAACTCTCGTGAGAAAACAGGCAACAGGCGATACTCGATTGAAAAGAGGACTAGCATTTCGCGTCCAACTACAAATAGCCGAAGATTAAGTTCTGAGAATTCTAGGGTATTCTTGAACAGGCAAAGTTTTCGCGACATAGTTCTCAAAGCAGCCGAGCACAAGCCGTTTCTAGAAAGACTCAACTCCGGATCTCGGAATCGGCTCGCTGGGCTAGGACACCAAGCCCGTCTTGAAAAATTTCGACATATTGCATCCCGCTGGAAGAATAAGGCCAATGGCGGCAGTCGCATAGACACATTGCCTGAAGTTGACTACGAAGTAGAGATGCCTGAAAAACCTCGTTTTTGCGCGACATTATCGACAGAAGCACAGTATGCAATATTTAAAGGTTACGAAGACGTTCTGGTTGATAAAATCTCATCGTCCTTAACTCCCATCGAGAAAAATGTACATATAAAACGTATACCGAGTGCAGCACCAAAGACAAATTCTAATAAATCATCATTACCTATCATAGAAAATCAACCAAATGTTGTACTAATTGCTTCCTCGCAGTCGAATGAAGTAGGGACTAACGTCAAGGAGGAGGCAACGTCGGCGCGACTAAAAAGGGTTCGGAATCAGCGGTACATGAGCACGCATTTCAAGCAAGCTATGAATATTTTGGATGACTTGAAGCGCCATACTTCTGCAGAAACAGCTGCTGCGGTGGCAGCTGAAGGCAACACTATTACTGTACAAAACAATATCTGCAAGCAATATCAAGCTTGGAGCCAACGATGGGCGAAGCAGTTTGAATTTTCATGTTGAGAACGACTACCACATTAGGGACCGGTTATTATTTATGGCGGGAGGTGGCACCGAACAGAAAAGGGTTGGGTAAACAAAATTTTGAGCGAGTAAAAGGTTGGGTAAATGAAAAAGAAAACCTCTCAAGCGTTGGGTAATACAAATTTATTGTCATTTCCAAAGCATGACTCACTGAAATATTGGAGACTAAAAAGCACTGTCAACAGTCAGATGTCAATATAATATGTGAATCAATCGGAGTCACTATCGTGATAATTTTCCGATATATTGAGAGACAGATGGTGTCTCCAAAGAAAGTAAAGTTTGTAAAGTTTTTTGCCAGGGGTGGGTATTTATTTTTTAATCGATATTTGAGGTTGGGTAATCAAATTTTTGGCTTTTTAATGGTTGGGTCAGCAAAATGTTTGCCACAAAAAACATTTCTCTTCGGTGCAACCGGCAACCATAAATAACGACCGGTCCCTTACTTCAGTACATAACATATTGGGTTTTTCGAATCACTGTCGTCCAGCAGATGGTGATCAACTAGACGTTTTCAGAGTGAGAAAATATAATTTTGTTTCTGATGTTGACTACATTCTGCTGCTCGTAACTGAAACCCACCGTAAATCCCTTTAAATGCTGTTTCAACAACTGATTATCAGGACGTGTTCGCATTGCTTGTTCCAGCTTTGGTTGACAGGTTTTGAACGCTTTGTTGACAACTCGCTACAAGGTTGCTGACTCTACAATATTTTACACATTTTAATCGACAACTATTAGAGATAGCTATATATACGGTGGCGAAACTAGACTGACATGACAATTGGTCATGCTATTCAAACCGTTAGCAGGGCCGCAGGAAGCTCTTTTTGATTGGGGGCCTGAAAGCGAGGACCGAAGGCCAGAGGAAATGTTTTAATGTAGAGTCTCTGAAACGCCATTTCCTGAGGGACTTTGGGAAAGATTTGACAGAATTTTGATGGTCAGAAAACAGCGTTTTAGTGTGTCGAAATTTACAATTTGGTAGTGCTAAATGGGCGAAGGTGTATTTAATTAACTATATATTGGATAAGTTGAAGGAAAGTATGGGTAATATCTTCATTCTTGGCAGTTTGCCATGCATAGATAATGTAGCCGCTTAAAATTAATAAAATCGATAAAGGTCTGCATGATTTTGAAAAAGAATGATTATTAGCAAATTATTGGGGGGGGGGGGGGAGCTGCAGCCCCCCCCTTAGCCCCTCCCCGGTTGCTACGGCCCTGCAAGGTTAGAAATGTATTGTCGTTAGACGTGCATGCTTATTTGCATAGCATGACCAGCTGCATGACTTTCTCTTATAAATGAACATTTCCTATGGACAAAATTGTCATAATACAGATTGCATACCAGTCCTCTTTTATTTCCATTTGTTCCAATTATATGGAATTTTATCTTAATATACAGGTTGTTGTAACTTGTTGGAAAGCTTGCTACAAGCTTTGTGTAACAAAGCTTGCTACAAGCTCGTGTTGAGAAGGCACGAGGCATTTATATGTGTGTAGTTTGAAGATAAACACGGAATAATCAAAATTGTATTTTGCATTTTGTATACATTTGATTTAATGCTTGCTTGTTTGCACAAAAGAGTTGTCATGGAATCATAACGTTTACGCAAATATATGTTGAAAATGCTTTTACCTATATAATACGAACACAGAAAGAGAAAGCAAAACAATTTAGAATACTGCTTTTGGATCTTACTACGCAAGACGACAGCACACTGATAAAAATGGCCGTTGAAAGCTGATCCAATATCTTCCAATTTTACCCTATAAAATGTTGAAAGAGAGTCTAACATTTTGCAACAATGTTAGATGATGATGGACCTATACTTCTTGGACTGTTTTGAACAGGCTTTTAAGCAAAAAGGACGGCTGCCTATTTTGCAACGGTTTTAACAACTTTGTTAATTTGTTGCCACGACAACGTATGTTTGAGATTGACTCGTACAAAGAAAAATTAAAATATTGAGACAATGAATGCATGAAGATATGGTTTTCCATAATTAAAAATTTATTACAGCGCGGACAAGTCTGCACATATGTGGAATTGCCATGCCAAAAATATCGATATCTTTAATCTACAACACGGAAAGCGTGTGCCCACACATGTATCTCTGACACCCAATCACTAATTCACACTCAGGCACCACGTTATCATTGCTAGGAAGACAATCTTCAAAGAAATTTTGCGTCATAAACTTCCCAGAAATCCTCTTGGAGGGTGGAGGGGCGAAAAATTTTCGAGACATCTTTCCCTCCTTTGGTCCACATTTCCCATACATTGTTTCAACACGAAGTATTCTTAATTACGCGAGCATTCAACGCAGGCTCGCGTTGCTCGCGTCATGTCAGCCATGGCAACCAACACGATCATTGTCTTTTTAACATTTTTTGTACAAAACGTGGCAAAATCTTATCTTATCTTATCTTCATCTTATTGCTCGTACTTTGAAATAAAGTATATTCAAATCATACTAGTAGCTCATGAATATAAGTTGCTCTCCTTTTTTGAGCATTTATAAAAAAATTAAAATAAGTTAATTCAAAGAAACTTGCACGTATATACAATGCAGAGGTAAGCTGTACATATATGTTCAAGACTTCAGGCTAAATATGAACAACAAATAAAGTCATACATAAACAGTAGAAACAAACTTACTCTATACTTCAATCTATCCGGATTCATACTTATCGTTTCTTCAAAATTTGAAAAAAGGTGATTTACAACTTATTATGTGAAACAATTTCCAAGCTTCCCAAGCCCTCAAATTGAGCAACCTGCCCTCAGAGTGAGCAACCTGTCCACAGAGTGAGGAACCTGCCCTCACATGCAGTGAGCAACCCGCCCTCAGAGTGAGGAACTTGCCCTCAGAGTGAGGAACCTGCCCTCAGAGTGAGGAACCTGCCCTCAGAGTGAGCAACCTGTCCATAGACTGAGGAACCTACCCTCAGAGTGAGGAACCTGCCCTGACTCAGTGCTTAGCGTTATGCTGGAAAGTAAACAACATCTATATATTCTGACAAAATTCTTTTAAATGTAAGTATCATAATTTCCAAATATTTGTTGATCTACCAGTATTGTTCAGGACATATTTTCCTTCCGGAACACCTGTTCAAAATACTAATTCCCAAACTTGTCAAAAAATAGTGTACATTCAATTTACAAGGGGAATTTCAACCCAATGGCACATTTTCCCCATGAATGATTTTCATAAAAAGACTTAGATAAAACTTTGATTTAAAGCTAGTTTCAAGTAACGAGCATACCCTAATTTTTAAGCTATACCTCAAAGAAGATGGATCGACAACTTTTTAGGGAAAATTATTTTCCGGACCAGAACGTTTTAATTGCTTTCGTGGCACTTTCCCCAACTTTTTCCGTTCCAAATTTCGGTACTTTGCCCGAAAAAATGGATGGTGCCCACCAAAAAATTACTAGCCCCTCCCCGGAGCCGGGACCCGGGGCAGTCCCCCCCGTCCCTGTCTCGGCGGGCCTGATTTCACTCACTTCTTAACATCTGTAGTGAAGAGCAAAATTGAGTGTTGATGTAAATATCTATTTGCTATCCATGTTTCCCCAGTGAAATTATAGTCTATTCCAAAGCTGATTTTGACGTACGTTAGCTTTTCAGAAATCGCTGGCCTTCCTCAGCAAGATTATCAACTGTTTCACAAACATATATATTTGATAGCAAACGGCTAAAATATTCTCCGAAAGTCTATATTTTTGTTCTTCGACGCGAAAAAGGCAATTCAAGAAGAAATGAGCCGCTCTTTTTAGTCAGCGTCGAAAAAATGGCTACCGGTTGTGACAGTATTTTCCATCATGGATTTTAAAAATTATATGCGAAAATACGAAACCCTAATTTCAAGTATAGACCCATATTGCACATGACGTCACAGCGCCGGTGTGGATGCATCTGGAGGACAAATTAGCAATCCATGCATAATATAACTTTTGTAAACAAAGGCAACTTTTGTAAAAGTTTCAAATAATTTTGTATTAAAATGGTTAATTTTTGCGCTGTATGTGGTTGTTGTACCCGAACAGATATTGTTAGGGAGCATCTGGAGGACACTCTAAGGATTTGTGACGTCAGTGCAATAGGTCTATAAAGTTCTCCAAAATAAAATGATTTGAACTGAAAACAATCGAGAATAATGTAAATGATATGGACATCGCTGGTAAGCGATTGGAAACGAGTTATAATTAGTGTTTCAATACACGTGACAAAGTGCAAATGGCCTGGGCACGAGGTGGTATATGTGAGTTGTTAAAGTGGGACACTCAATCTCGTACCCAGAGCAATGCCTGTGCGCGGGCTAGGATGGCATTGGATCTGCGGAAATAGACAACCGGAACCCCTAAATTTAGGGTTTCCGGTTCTTTGTCGGCATGCACGATTGATAAACGTCAAACCAATCACAGCATAAGAAAAATTCAATTTCCCCTGAGCCAATGCCATCCTAGCCCGCGCACAGGCATTGCTCTGGGTACGAGATTGTGGGACACTAGGATAGTTCAGCACATGGTGGTAAGCGCTGAGAGGGAAGATTGTTAATACAGAGTAACTAAATTGTTCATTATATGTATTGATCTGATGTTTGACGACAAATACATGTACTGGAAACATTTAGCATAATTTGTTCACTAAACACTTGTTCATAAACAACAATATATTTGAAATTAACCAGCATGTGTAGCACGATACAAAAGCAAAGTGAAGTCAAACTTTAGGTTATTCGCTTCATTTCAATGTTTCGACTTTATTGTTTTCTTCGACTGAAATATATACATTGAAATTGAACCTATTGGCTATTATTTCAAAGACAAATTAAAATGCAAAATTAAATGTTCTATATTACCATAATACTATGCTTGAAAGACCTTAGTTTGACATTACTAATTGCTTTGATCCCTTGGAGTACCTTTGATCTTTTGATGCAGCACTTTTCTTGCGATAATACCAGTACCTCCTAGTTTTTGGGTACATTATCTATGTGTTCAATTCCAAAGGATATATTGCTGTTCTAAGACTACTTATATTACCCATCTACATTGCTAAATTATGAACCTTTAAACTTCAATTCATATTTCTAGTGTTATTAAAGTGCCCCTAACCTCAATTATTTTATCGCCTCATTCTTAAGAACTTCTGAAATGATATAACAACTTATTTTATATAACAACTTATTCGTTTGCTCACTTTGTTTCTGAGATATTTCAGTTTGTTTGGTATGCAAATATCCGGAATTTACGTCACAAATACATAATGATTTGAAGTAAAAGCTTGTGTATCGTATTCACTATCAAGTTTAATTCATTAAAATGAAGTTTGGAGTTGTGGGGGATTAAATATACTTATGTATCAAAATATGTGAAACACCATTTAGCTTTTTTATTTCATCATATTTAACTGCACATTACATTCTTTGATCAGTCATTATTCACATGTGACGTAAATTCCGGACATTTGCATATTAATAAAACTGAAATAACTCGGAGACAAAGTGAGCGAACGAAAATCTTCAAAATAAGCTATGATATCATTTCAAAGGTTCTTAACAATGAGATAATAAAAATAATTGAGGTTAGGTGCACTTTAACTAAAGGATATACAAAACTATCTCAAATTAAACTGTACTGACCACACTCTTTGGGGCTAGGGGTAAAACGCCTTGACAAGCTATATACATGCATGTATGATGCAGAGCTAGTAATATGTTTTGTTTTTCTCACCGCTATACCCATGTTCTTTGGTCACTCATTTGCTTGAACAGGTTTACGTATTGTTGGGTTATCGTCATACAGATTTCTGAGGACACGTGTTTATTTACATGGACATAATCTGAAGTGTCTTCTTAGATGAACGTGATGTAGTCCTCTCTTACGACAGCAACAGCACCACTTGGATGAGATGTGATGGATGGCAACAGTTCGATACTGCGCTTGCAAAAGATCGTCGAGGTCTCCAGTTCCCCTGTTTCAGTGTAACAAAGAAGGAAACATGAACATTCTTCCTTGACATAAGTTAACACAATTATTTTACGAATGACATAGTGAAATGCCACCCCATGAACCGTGTGACCTTCTGGTAGTGTTGTTGTCGACTTCAGATTTCCTTCCTCGGAGTAGAAGTTAACAGCCGTGCTATCACTTGAGGATATCATGATTTCATCTTTATTTGAAATACCCAACCTGGTTACGCCAATGGTGTTTGGTTCAAACTTGTGTTTCAATTGTCCCACGTTGTCACAGACATAGATATGGAGATCACGGACTTTGAACATGATGATATTATTGCTTCTGTTTATAGTGATCCACACCACATCTAGACCTGGGCTTGTAACCTGAAAGAAATCAAATCTGGCATCGTGTTTCACATTATAATTCTCATCCAGCACATTCAGCACGTAACTTTCCACGTCGCTATTTTCTGTACGTGTTTTAAGCCATCTAACAACATAAACGTTGTTATTCTTATCAACAGCGAGTCCTGCGATACCTTGGTCGAAAACTTTACCTTCTTCAGAATTTGGTAATTTGACCAACTTGTTTTCTGCTGTCGTTCTCGAAATCACTTTGATGTTATTATCTCCCACAAACTCACCAATAACCACATTCCCATGACTGTCCACAGCAGATAAACGCGGATATATTTTGCAATCAAGTATTAGCTGCTTGGGAGATTGACTCAATTCATCGCCCATCGACTTTCTTGTCGAAACCTCTTGCCAATCTAATATCGGGTTAAAACTGCGATCAGTAAGTTCAATTATGCCAGTCCATGTTACCCTGTCAGTAAATGTCCCACTGAATTTGAAATTAAGATTAAACAAAATATAGTTGATCAGCATCACAGATTTTACGTTTTCTACACGTTCGACTTTACCCAACAACGATTTGATTCCGCCATTGAGATAAACAGAGAACATCTCACGGATAGCTGGTAAGCTATGTAAATCTTGAAGAAACGACAGACACCCAGTGATGGCCGTTTGAGGACTATCGAGACATTCCAGTATCTCAGAAGCAATACGTAATTTGGCGGCAAAGATTCTATCGTTTATGTTTAATGCCTCATTGCAGAAAGCATCGGTTGCTCTTATACGGGCATATTTAAATCTATCTTTAGCGGATTCAAACTCTCTATCAGAGTGGATTTTCATCTTTCCCATAGCTTGGGAAAGTTCTAAAGCTGCGCTTAAGATCCCAAACTCGACATCGTCCGACATTTTTGATGTTTCACCTCGCTCTTGTTGGGTTGGGTTCATCACAGCTTTCTGCTCCAGCTTTGATTTATCCAGAGAAACACTTAGGAAATCTACTCCTTCTTTCAGAAAGCGGTAGCTGCTGAGCAGATCTTTGCGTGAAAGACCATCAAGTTTTGTCTTGATGTCGTTCAACTCTCTCACGACAATCTCTCGAATTTTTGCATCCGTAACGTCGCCGTCCTTTAGTTTAGCCGCAGTCGAGTCCCGAGCATTGTTCCATAACAAGCCTACGGTTGAGCTTAAGATACTCGTAACAATGGAAGTCATACTTGAATTCAATAAAACCAGACTGCTTTCAATTGCAAAAGATACAGAGTTTGGAATATGTTCCAATTAGGCCTAAATATCTGATGATAATGATGATGTAACATCCTGTCACATCTCTATGGTATGTTCTTCCTGTCAATTATAAATAGGTCACTACGTGGGTTTAAGGAAATTAAGGAAAAAAATCTTTGTTGAAATGCAAATTATTTTCAAGAACATACGCCTTAGTGTATAAACACGTTGAGTGTTGAGAAGTCAGTGAGAAAAGCCAGCAACTTTGCTCTTATACTATTACTGCCGTCATTTTCCGAATGAGCAATCTGATTTTCCGAATATTTTAATTCTAAAAAAGTTGGGGGGTTAACCCCCCCACCCCAATACCCCCTTCGCTACGGCCCTGGCCTTTCTTTTGAAACTTGTAACTGTTCGGTAAGTCTTTGTGTTATAACGAGACCGCAAGAATTATTAAATGGGAAAATTTAATTTAAAAAATATGAAAATAATGTTTAGCAATAACGTAAAAGGACCGTTTTGCAACGAGAGAAGGACACGTCGCTATAACGTACGTCAGTAAATTCTGTTCTAGATTGAAATTTACATTGTTATATGTAACCACAAACTGTTTTATATCTGAAACCTAGCTTGAAAAATAGGCATTAAAATGTCTCTTTCAACCCGAAGTTACAACTTATGTTTGAGTCGTCCCATACAGAGGAATACAAGTCAGAACTGTTTATCAAAAATGTTAAAAATTGCATGACAAGTCTAAAGTTTGCAAAAATAAAATGATTTTGAACTGAACCTAACCGAGAATAACGTAAGATATGGGCATCATTCAACACTGCCAAGGGATTGGGTACGAGTCAGTGTTTTCCTATATGTGACAAAGCAGAAAAGGCCTGGACACGAGGTTGTACGTATATGCGAGTTTTTAAAGTGGGACACTAGGACAGTTCAGCACATGGTGGTGAACTCTGGGAGGAAAGATTGTTGGCACAGTGTAACTAAATTGTTCACTATATTTGGTGACAAATACATGTACTGGAAACATTTTTCCATCATTTTTTCACTCTCATAATTGTCCATGCATTTGAAATTGACCACCATGTGTAGCACGATATAAATACATTACTGAAACCTACCTATACAGCGTTCAAGAAAGTAAACAAAAGCAAAGTCAAAATTTAAGTAATTTAAGCTACTGTTTTCTTCAACTGAAATATATACATTGAAATTTTAAATTATCTACATTACCACAACACTTTTGAAAGACCTTAGCTCAGTTGACGTTACTAATATACGAGTAACATTATCTATGTTCAATTTATTTTGAAGGATGCATTGTGCGAAGCATGTACATGAACGTTTACAGTAAAAAATACAGGAACATTTCCGCTTCTGTAATCTGTTCACATTTTGGTGTCATTTGTTCTGTATTATTACTGTGACGATTACCGATTTATAGATTAATAATATACATAAAAAATATTCCTCCACTGTGATTGGTTGATTTCAGCGCAGTTATCAAACAGCAGTTCAATTTGTTTAATCACGGTGCAACTTTTGGAAATAACAGTGCAATTTTTTTGTAATCACAGTTCAATTTTCTGTTATTACAGTGCAAAATAGGCCTAACATTTCTGAAATGCGCCCGACTAGACGAGAGAGGAGAAAAAATTTGCCTTAAAACCTTAAAAAATATACCACAAGGAAGTCCTTTATTTTGTGACATCCCCACACCGAGAGACACCTGTTATGATTACAACTTAAGAAATTCTAATGCATTCCCTTGCGAAAACAACTATATTATATTGCTATTTTAAAACTATTTTATTACTATCACCCCTATTTTTATGCTATTTTATTCAGAAGCAACCCTATTTTAATTCTATCATAATATTTCACCAAGCGAAAGAGCCATATTTTATTAATGTTTTATTTTATTTTATTCCTAATTTTATAGATAATAGAAATAAAATCGCATATTTTAATACTATTTTCAAGAGCTTCATGGAAAAAATAGGTTTAAAATAGCTTATTTAAATTCTATTTTACTTCACTAAAAAGCAGTTAGAAATTAAAATAGATATAACATATACTATTCTTAAACTCGTAAAATAAAATAGGCTGTTTAAATCCTATTTTGCGTTGCAAGTTAAATGCACAAATTTCAAACAGGAATAAAATATACTATTTTATTAATCCTATCTTTCTTTCATAGTTAGCAAAATAACAATAAAATAGACTATTTTAAACATATTTTGCACGTGCAGAAAATTACATAAATTAAAATAGATATAAAATATAGTATTTTAAAGCTATTTATTTTTCAGAATACGTAAAACAGAATAAAATAGACTATTTTAAACCTATTTCACATTTTTAAAAATGCCACATTTTTCAAATAGGGATAAAATATACTATAACAAACGTACTTGCAGGGAGGTGAGTCCGGGATTGGACGCACCGAGGGTGGCTGGAAGTTTCCCGAACTTACCGAGCGAAGCAAGGTGAGTTCGGGAAACTTCCAGCCACCCGAGGTGCGTCCAATCCCGGACTCACCGAACCTGCAAGTACGTTTGGTTTTTATCCCATACACCGAGCCATACACACATTTGTAGCTCTTCGCGATATATTCGTCGTCTCGTCGATGTTTTGTGAACATTTTCCCGGCCAAAAAAATCACTGGGCAAGAAAATACTTCTTTATCTACGTCTAAATTACCTTTACTGCATTATTTCTTTGGTTTTTCTTCAGTCTCAGTATGTTAGTCACCGAAAAAAGTTCTTTAAAGTTTAGGTTTATCGGCTAAATCTTGTCCGCCATATTTGTTATTGTTATTGCAACGTAAGCAGTTTATCAGGTGAGTTCGGGCGAAAAGCAGGTGAGCTCGACAAAAAGCAGGTGAGCTCGACGACAAGCTCACCTGCTCTAAACCAATCAGAAAGCCGCTTTTAACACAGGTATGGGATAATATTTTAAACGTATTTACTTTCCCTAATTTGCAAAATAGAATAAAATACACTATTTTAATCATATTTTACATTTACAGGAATTCAGGATTACAATTTGCAGATATGTATAAAATAGTCTATTTAAATTAAAACATACTGAATTTTCCTACTTAGCAAAATGAAATAAAATAGAACTGTATTTTACATTTACACAGATAAGGGATCAATCCTTAATAATGGAAGGGGGGGGGGCGGAGGGTGAGAAAAAGAGGAGGCTTCAACTATTGCGTACAGCGTCATCCCCACTGTAACCTGAAGTTCAGGCCCTATCACAGAATAGGGCCTCACACAAAACCTATCTAAAGTGTGGGATTCCCGTCCACCTGCTGGACGGGAAATCTGATTGGTTGATCAGCATCATGAAGGATTTTGATTGGTTGCAAGTTCACATAAACAACAGTTTTAAAAATAGCTCGGTCAAGGCAATAATTAATATAAAGGTCAAACGCACGTAACAAATTCCATTATCGATTTCTTCGAATTTCTTTTCTTTTATGCTTTATGGAAGAAAATAAATCAAACAAACAGTATTTTGAAAGGTCTTCATCAAAATCTTTGACGAATTTTGGACACACACGACGCTGAAAGAACAGCCAAACTAGTCCTGTATTCGAAAGCTTGTTGTTGACAGCCGAGATGTTCTGCCAACTTGCTTCGCCGGCAAAAGTCTTATTTTTAATATCAGGTCCTACCGGCGTTGTTTTCTGAGCTACATCGCCTTCTTCGTGGTATGATTGAGAATTTAATTGTTGCTGTTATTAGCCCGTTAGTCGCTAGAGTATATCCGCGTCCAGCAAGTTGAGACCTTGAGAAAGCTTGGCAGTCAAGCCGTGCACAGAACTGACTAATTAAATCTTTGTTTGCTGTTCGCCTGTTCGGTTAAATAGAGAAACTGACTCTTAATTATATAAAAAGTACCTTGAATTTTTAAGTTTAATTAAAAAGCAAAATGCTCTGCGGACATGTTCATGAGAATATAATTTTTTTGTGTAACGAAATCTACAACACTTGTCAATCATATTGCATGTGTGTCTAAAAATAACATGTGGGCGTCTCACGGTCTAGACAGGTTTTGTGTCAGGCCCTATTTCAAATTAGGGCCTGAACTTCAGGTTATCCCCACTGGTCATCCCATGCAGTGCTTCCACTTGCAAGGAAATTTCTTTGCAAAAAAAAAAAAAATTTACTAGGAAACGGCAAGGAATTTTGTTTTCAGCAAGCAAATAAGGATATTACGTTATTTCTAATAAATCCTAAGATTATAGCAATTCCGAAGCAAATTCGCGTCAGGAAATATCGAAAATCCAAATCCTACTCGTGGGGAATGGAAAATCAGAAAAATTTCTGAGGCATGATCTCAAGCCTCCTGTTGCAGTTTTTTTATAATTAAATTATAATTTATAATTGCAACGTTCATGGTGTTTCCCGCCCGAGAAATACACCGTCATTCAGGATAAATTATTGTAATATCAGTTTTAAAGGTAGGTTACAGTCCCTTCTGCGCATGCGCGGGCTTTGTTTACGTTTTTTGTTTTGATCCACATTAATTATATAAGATGAAGTATATGACGAGTTCAAAGTAACATTCCACATAATTTGTGACCGAGGTGTGCAATGTTTGACAATACTTCGCTTCATTTCTTGTACATTTCTACACTGGAAATTTTTGTACACAATATAAACACAATCTTATACTGTAACTGTTTAACTGTAAACATCGTGAATAAAGTTATAAAGAGGCAGCTTTGAACGTTGTACTGTGGGACTTGCTATATCAACAGCTGGGGCGGCGAACCGAAATCCCGAAGGTGTGAGTTCGAATAATTTGTGTTTACCTTTGGAGTGTCTCATCATGAATATATTTAATGCCATAGGCGTACCGGGCGGGGGGGCGGTTTTTTGGGCAGTCGGGCAATATTCGATCAACAGTCGGGCAATTTTGGTTTGCAATAAAAAAAAATGGGTCAATTTTGCCTAAGATTAAGTAAATTTTTTGGCAAATTTTGTGATTTTTCGAAAATTTGTGTTATGTTCCGAAAAATATTGGTTGTCCGGAAAATTTTTTTGACCCCTAAAATGGTACACTGACCGAAATTTTTTTGGCGACGGGGGGGGAGGTCGCCAAAATAATTTTTCCGGAAAAAATTTTTTGGTACTAGTCGGGCAGAATCCCGAAAAGTCTGGCAATTTTCGTTCCGCCCCCCTATTTTTTTCCTTCCGG